AATGCTTATTTGAATTTGAGATCTGTAGAAGAATTACCTTCTGGCAGCTTTTCTGAAGATATATCACAGAGGGAAATTGTCATGCTTATTACTACTCCACTTAAATCTTCAGTGCTTTTATTTCTTTCTTGGTTGAACCCCTTATTTCTTTTCCTGATTATTTTTTCCTAGAAGGAAGATTCTGTTTGCCCATGACGTGATTCAGTCTTAATATTTTTATAATGTATTTTCTGTATGGTGTTATTTTATAATCATCATGAAGATGAGTTTGACATGTAGTAAGAAATTCAGTCAAATTCTGAGCAGGACTAATACTTTTAAAATGTAACCGTTAAGGATTTTCAGTAGGACTTTCCACTATACCATGTACATGTGTAAATACACTGGATAGTTTAGAAGTACTGCTGTTTTCCGAGTGTAATATCTGGCAGAGCCAGAACATGCCTTTAATTATCCTGCAAGAGAGTGAAACTTGATCTCATCCATTGTCACTGTCCAAAGCTGATTATTTTGAGCATACTCGTTCTATCATCCCAGAGGTGTTATGTCTGTTGCATCTATTCTGTCCCACAGGCAATTGTGCTTGCATCTTCAGGTCATTAAGAACAGAGATAGTTTCATAATTGTGTGGGTAATTAAGGTTTCATTTCATTCTACTTTTAACTGTGATTTAGCTGTTTTATTATAAAATAACCCAGAAATGAGGGCACATTGAGGCTTCTGTGTTTAATTTATTAAGTACTAATGGAATAGCTTTTCATAAGCACCCAGAATCCTTTCCGTTCATTCTGATGTCTTAGATCAAGTGTCTTCTGGTCACCTCCTCCCCTTTAAAAGCGTCAGTAGAAAATGAGATTAATTTTTGCATCTGTTTTACTGTTTAGGTGCTTAAGGTTGAGTGGGAGCAATACCATCAAAATGTTTGACAAACATTGAATTTAGGCTAAGCATGTCTGCAAAGCTGGTAGGTATAATTTTTACAGACCACGATACAGGGCAGAGTTTTTCGAGTTTCTCAGAGAGAGTTCTGTTCAAAGCCCTTTTTAGAATAAGTATTAAATGTGTAATTCAAAGCATGCTGATGAAAGTATGCATTGAGTGTTTTATTCCAGGTCTAACATGCAAGTCTTTCTTTCATATCATATGAAATACATATGGGAATCCAGATTAGAACCAGGTAGAAGGCATATTTGGAATGCTGAATGGTAGGGGTGTTTTCATGGCAGCAACTATCATAATGAGGTTTTTTTAGTTTACTGCTACTAGCTGTATTTCAGTCTTTTTTGTATCAACATTCTATTGCTGAGTATTGGTTTTAATGGAAATTAAAATCATGAACAAACTTAGAAATTTTAGCAGAAGGTCTGTGAAAATTTTGCCATCTCACACACACGTGCACACACACACACACACAAAAGTTTGAGCTGCAGTACCTTAATGATATGAGTACATCTCTTTGTTTTAAACCACTGTTTTGGTCATGTTCAGTAGTAGTGGTTTACAGTGATAACCTTCCCTGGAACACCGAGAGCCTCCCATGTTTGTGATGGTCATCATCTGTTTAAATAATATAAAATGTAGGGGTAATAATATGCAGTGGAACTGTTACAGTTTTCAGCACAATCTAGTGTTTATTGTCTTTGCTAAGTTCATGTGACATACAGTTCAATCAGATGTCTTTTATTGTTGTAGTAAGACATTGTCTGGCAGGCAGGCCCTCTATACATAAAACCCAAAGATGCTTCTTGCAAATGAACCTGAACTTTTTGTAAGATACTCATTCTAGAGGGTACAGGGGTTTGTTGTCTTCCCCCTGAACTAACCATTTATCTCTGTATTCTAGTGAATTTTTTGTTCTCCCATCCCTTCCTTTCGTATTTGTGTTTCTGGTGCTTCACTTTGGTGGTGTGGGTTTGTGGGTTTTTTTTAGTTCTCTGTTTTTTGTGCTTGTGGCAACTTCACTTTAAAGTGGAACTTGATCAGGCTTTTATTGATATTTTGATCTCTAAAGCAACACAAGCTAAAGTCTTGATGTATGTATACACCTGTTGATATATGTGATTTTTAAGATTTCAACTTAGTTGTAGAGTGAAGATGTAATTTTGCGGGTACTGTAGTTTCATGTCTTTTGTGTGGAACAGTCTTTTTTACCAGTAGGGATTCTTTTCTGGAGATAAGTTTGAGTGACTGAGAGTTAACTTTATTTTGTCTCTTTCAAAAAGTGAATTCCTGACTATTCTAGTAAGTGTGCTCTTTTTGCTTGCTTCTTCATGTAAGTCTCTGCCTCTTACTCCTCACCCTGCCTATATAATACCACAGTCTAGCCTAAAGTCAGGCTACTGGTTGCATTAATACCATCTGTGTGGTTTGATTACAGCAATCATTTTTTCATTTCTGAACCTGTGAATAAGGAAAAACTGAATGTCCTAGTGGAGCGTCTCCAGGGTATACTAATTTTTCAGGTCTCCATGCAATGTCAGAATGTGCTTAAATGTGGTTTGTTTCCTAGGTTCCTTCATCAGCAGTCTCTGATAAGAAGACAGGTTGTTCCCTCTGCTTTCGGCAGTTTCTTTCCATGAGCAGAAAAGGTGCTTTTGCCCTCTGCATCAGTAATAGGTCCAGACCTACATGCTGACAGCCGTATCAGAAGGCTGACCATCCCGAGCGTTCTCCAATGTTTTATTTTCAGTTTGGTAATCTCTTTTTTTTTTTTCTTTTTTAAAAATTTTTTTCCTTTCTCTCAGTTCTCATTTTCCACAAACTAGCATTGTGCTAAATATTTAGGAACTGGCTGGGCTTGGAGTAGGCTTTCAAAATATACCTTCATTGTCTGTAACCTGAAAGAGATTTTTTTTTTTCTCCTTTCTCTGCAACAAGTATTCTTCCTGCCTTCTGATACCTTTCAGATTGGCAGGCAGTGAATTTTCTAGCATATCTTTTATTGATTGCATAAATGGCCCTCTTCGCAGTGGGTCTAGTGGACTCCCCCAACATGAGAACTGCAGTTGGTTTTACTTGCCTATGCCAGGGCTAACCCAGATTCAGTTGGCCAATGTTAGCAGTGGTTGGGGTAGTTGGATACTATAACTTAAGGGTAGCATAAAATAAAATTGACTTTACCATTAAATTAAAGGAATGATATACAGACTGTATGAAACATACTTTGCAATTTAAGCAAGCTCCTCAATTTTTGAAAATGTATCTGAAGCTGCTCCAGAGTGCCTGGTCTACTACAGTGGAGTGCTGCAGAATCCAAGGGCCTCGCTGGAGGAATTAGGGCACCCTTGCTGCGGAGCACACAGAACCTGGGGTATTGTCCCTCTTCCTGAAATTCCTGAATCACCTCCTGGCTACTTCTGACATCTGTTTTTTAGCCCTCACTGTTCACTTCGATTTCATACGTTGGTGCTTTAAGTACTCAGTGTTGTTTGTTTCGTGCTGTGTGAACGTAAATGTTTAGAGATTTCAAACACAGGCTGGTGCTTCTCAATATTCATGTCCTGCTTACTAGGCTCATACCAACAGCTTTTGACATCTGGTTGGTATGTTTTGAACTCTCTTACACTGTCTGGCACCCATACTGCAGCTACTTGACAATATGTAGCTACTTCCTACCTTTTTCTGGAACTCTTCCAACAAGCGGTTTGTGCAGTGCACCCAATGTCCTTGCACTAGTGCTCTAGTGCACTGTCACATGGGTGTGTAAAAGACAAGTGAATGTGTGCTGCATCTTGTCTAAACTGGGAAATGATGAAACTGCTTGGTTGGCAGGATACGCTCACTAACTTATTCCCAAAAGCTGCGGGGGGAACTGCTGATTTTCGTCTGTGTTTGGTAGGCATGAAGTGTTTGTTCAGGGAAGTATTTATAAAGTCTGGTTATTGTGAAAGTTTTTCATGACAATTGGTGAAAGATGCTTCTGGGTACTTTCCAATGACTGTAAGGAGTTAGCTTTGCCGTTTCCTGGCTTGAACTGGGACTTGTAGGTAATTATTTGTGTGAATAGCATCCAAACAGAGCTTGTGCACAAATGGAAACTTATTGCTTAACAAAAGTGCTTACCAGAACTGGTAGAGATGTTGCTGAAAGTAAAAGCTCTGCATTTGCCCAGTTAGAGCTGTGTTTATCTTGCACAAAAATTCTTAAGAGAGCACAGAAGAGCTAAAGACCTGGCAGCCATTTTCAGGGGAGCATATTCTCTTGCGGCTGCTGAGAAATCTGGAGCTCACCTTTAGATGATCAAAAAGATAATTTTATATCTATGTATGTTTCAAGTAAGATTTTTAAAAGCCACTCTGCCTTTATAGGCTTCATATTCCCTACTTACTCAGTACTAGGATTATCTACATTATATCTTAGTTTTTTGTTCAGGTGATTACCATACAATATGACATTTTGCTCATATCAACAGTAAAAATAGATCTGCAGGTATAATTGTGGGCAGTGCAAGCCATGGAATTAAACAGTCATGAAGAAGTAGAGAGGAAGCTGGATATTTTTTAGCATTCTGTCTAAAATTGCTATGTTTTAGCAGTAGGAACTAGTGAGCTACTGTTTTCAGCAGTTAAAGAAGAAAATTAAATGTAGACAGAACTGAGGCTAGTCTCTAAATATGGCTGCAGGATAAACACCTCTGCAGAAAGGCAAATTTAGAGAGGATTTCTTTGTCCAAGTATGAAATCCAACTACTGTTTGTGTTGCATTCCTCTTGTTGGCAGTCTTGTGTTTGTGAATACAGTCCTCAGAGTTATTTTATTTTATGACTCTTGTACCGCTTTTTATTTTTAATTTTGCTCTCTTAACTAGTGCATTGTGCAATAATTAGTCCCATGCTTTGATTCTCAGCTGTTATTTTTAATGACTCCTGAGAACAGTAACCTGTGGGAAAATTGCATGCTCTTTGTTACCATCTCCATGGAACTGTACATGCATCTAATCTGGATGAGTTCATAGTAGTCCTCAATTTTTGAGTAATACAGCTATTTTCTTCTTCACAGGACTGAGTTTGCCCTAAAAGAAATCATGTCATCAGGAGGAGCTGAAGATGATATTCCTCAAGCAGAGAGGAAAACAGTGACAGACTTTTGCTACTTATTGGATAAATCTAAGCAGCTATTCAATGGCTTAAGGTTAGTGCCCTTTTGACAGTATTCCTTCAGAAGAAACATTGGAACATACACTTTAGTACGTGAGTGATGCTGAAGTCAGTTGTACAACTGACATTTCTAACTCAAACCCAGTAAGTCTGTTTAGGAGAGAACCATGTGCACCTATGTATGGGTAGTTTTGTCATTTATGTAAGAATGTCTGTAGGAGTAGAGGTTCACGCACTTCTTCTGAGACAGTAGGGAAGGAAATGTGAGAAAGGTGAACTGAATGTCTTGGTCATGTCAGTTAACAGGAAACTAGAAGTCGGAAATTCCGTGAAATTGATAGAATTCATACTGAAGTGTTGTGTATGAAGTACACAATTAAGGACTAGGTTTGGCTTTGTGCAGTCAACAGCATGCAAGTCCAAAACCCCACACTCCATACTAAAAAAAAAACCAAAAACAAAAAACCAAAAAGATGAGAAGGATTGGCCTAGGTGGGAGGGAATATTTTTTGAGAATAAATTTAGGAAGTGATAAACAGGAACATCCAAACCATAGCCTGTATGTGTCTGGTGAAACAAATGCTTACTCTGAACTGTGGAAAAAGGTAAAATCTGCATTTATCTACAAAACATCTGCAGTAACATCTAGAAAGTCTAGCTGTTTTGTCAGCATCAATAAGAAGGGGTATAAGAGTAAGGGGATTTCAAGGCAAATGGTTCACCTTTGGACAGTGATATAGGCATCCTGTTTATGCCAATATATGCTGAGCTAAAGATTATGTATTCAAGAGCTGTTTTATTTCTAAGCTTTGCTGTAGAGTCTCTTAAGCAACATGGTTTTTAGCTCAAATCTTGTTGGCAGTTCAGCCTCATACTGGTCTCTGAGTAATACAGCATGTTTGGGCCCATATAGCTTGCTGTTATTCAAACACAGATGGTTAGAAAAGATGTTTTTAATTCCATCCCCCCCTCCCGCTATTGATAATCCTTTCATGTGCTTTAGAAGTTGATTACCAAATCCAAAACAAACAGTTTGTGCTCCAAAACCTGAATGGTAGATGGGCAGTAGAGGCAAGGAGTTCTTGGTGATTGCATTTGACACTCCATGAAACAGAGTCTAAAGCAAAAGTACTGAGATCTTGAGGCCAGGATTTCCAGGACCATATATGTCATTACATTGGCTTTCTGATATAGCTTGCTTGGAATTTTGGCCAGAGTCACCGAAGAGTACATGTCTGGATGCATGATGCTCAAGTTCAGATCACAGAGATGGCAGAGTATCTACAGCCATTCTGTGTCTTCCTTTGGGCATGGAGGGAGCTAGTACTTCTATCAGATTTCCAGATAAGAGATGTAGTTCCCATATATGTCCACGGTACTTTGCCAAAAAGAAACCTTCTTATCCAGCTGGATGGAAAGAAAATGGAAAATACCTTTGGATGAAGTTGGGGCAATAAAAATAGAGAGATGGGCCTCAGCAGCCAGCTCTGCTGTGTGAAAATAAGAACATACCAGAACGGGAGGCTGCCTCTGTCCTTACTGTAACTTGACACAACTAACGTGGCTGCTTCTTACACTGAACTTGACCACCATTTCACCTGTAAGACCTGTGATTCCTATGGGTATAATGACTGGATAAAGCAGCATTATAATTTGCAGGTATCTCCTCTGTTAGTGCTTGTTCTCTTCTGGGTAGTTCACCTGGAAATGACTTGGCAAGTATCCTAATTCTTTGTCCAGTTTCTTGCATTTCCCTCTAGCATAATAAATGCATTTGATGCATGCCTGCTGCCTTGTCTTTTGAAGATGATGACGGCCTTTGCTGCTATGTTTTATGGCATTCTCTTGTCCCTACCATGTTTCATGGAAAAGAAGTGATGGGGGAGGGAGAGGAGAGCAATGATTTTCTTCCTGAAACCTCCTCTGGGCACTTCAGCTACAGGGAACTGAGCCTATAGCTGTGTTGGCAGCTGCCTAGCTGTTGCTGCTGCCAAAAATGCAACGGCTCAGCCTGACACGTCTTTGTTTCAGTAGCATTTCCTTCCTCTCTTCCCAATACAGATGCCAAATACAGCATTTGAGGAAAACATATGATGATGTGCCAAGGTTGCTGCTCCAAAGTATACTTCATGCTTGCACTACCAGTGATACCATCCTTTTGTGGCCATGCCTGCTAGAATAACTTAGAGGGGAAGTTGTCTTTCTAATGTCTGTACTCCCTTTTTGAACACCCTGAGCTGTAAGTTAGAAACAGCTGTTAATGAAGGATGTTCTAATTGCTCTCTTCTCTCCTTTCTCCATTCCCACTTGTTTTTTTTCTTGGAAAAAAAGCTGGAAAGAGGGAGCGTGTTAGGAAGCAGTTTTTCATGGTGTACTGTCACCAGTTACTGTTTTCTTTTTAATGTTAAAAAGTGCTTAAATATGTTCAGTATCACATAGAAGCTTGAAACTTTAAGAAATGAAAAGACTTTCCGCATATATCATACTTGCCTAGACTATAAGGTCTTGTGGCTCATTGTGCAGGCTGCAAGAATTGCGACTGCTGTCCTTTCATGGAAAGAGGTGATGGTGTTTAACCATTTATTTTGTGGACTTCTAGTAGTATGCAAGTCGAACCTCTTAGTTTTGTTCCATGATGCTGCTGCTGATTTAGAAACAACAGGACCCTGTTAGCTTCAGGTAACGCTGCAGGCTTGTCATGGTTTAACTCCAGCCAACAACTAAGCACCACATAGCTGCTCTATCCCTCCCCGCCTTAGCTAGATAGGGGAGAGGAAATATAACAAAAGGCTTGTGGGTTGAGATAAGGATAGGGAGAGATCACTTAACTGATTACCATCACAGGCAAAACAGACTCAACCTGGGGAAAATTAACTTAATTTATTGCTAATAAAGCCAAATCTTAAAACACCTTCCCCACACCCCTCCCTTCTTCCCAGGCACAGTTTCACTCCTGAATTCTCTACCTACCCCCACAGTGGTGCAGGGGGACAGGGAATGGGGGTTATGGTCAGTTCATCACACATTGTCTCTGCTGCTCCTTCCTCCTCAGGAGCAGGACTCCTCACTCTTTCCCTGGTCCAGCATGGGGTCCCTCCCACGAGAGACAGTTCTCCATGAACTTCTCCAATGTGAGTCCTTCCCATGGGCTGCAGTTCTTCAGAAACTGGTCCACCATGGGTCCCTTCCATGGGCTGCAGTCCTTCAGGCACAGACTGCTCCAGTGTCGGTCCCTGTGGGGTCACAAGTCCTGCCAGCAAACCTGCTCCAGCATGGGCTTCTCTCTCCAGGAGGCCACAGGTCCTGCCAGGAGCCTGCTCCAGTGCGGGCTTCCCACGGGGTCACAGCCTCCTTTGGGCATTCCCCTGCTCCGGTATGGGGTCCTCCACAGGCTGCAGGTGGGTATCTGCTCCACCGTGGACCTCCATGGGCTGCAGGGGGACAGCCTGCCTCACCATGGTCTTTACCATGGGCTGCAGGGGAATCTCTGCTCCAGCACCTGGAGCATCTCCTCCCCCTCCTTCTTCACTGACCTGGGGGTCTGCAGTCTCTTACATGTTTTCACTCCTCTCTCTAGCTGTAGTTTCTGTGCCGCAGCAACTTTTTTTTCCCCTTCTTAAATATGTTATCACAGAGGTGCTACCGCTGTTGCTGATCGGCTTGGCCTTGGCCAGCAGCGGGTCCATCTTGGAGCTGGCTGGCATTGGCTCCATTGGACATGGGAAAGCTTCTAGCAGCTTCTCACAGAAGCCACCCCTGTGGCCCCCCCTACCAAAACCTTGCCGTGCAAGCCCAATACAAGGTTGTACCCCGTCTGGTGCTGGGACAGGACTGGCTTCTCATACCGATTGCATCAGTGAGGCAAGTTACTGTGAGTGCTACTCGTGTGCTTACTATCTTTGTGGGATATTAGAGGCAATGGGGAAGCTACACCACAATGCCATTGTCCCACTGCTGCTTAGGTTCTGGGAATAGTAGCCTGTAATTACTACAAGCCTATGAACATAACAGGAAATTGTCTTTTTTATCACCGTCAAAACTGTGAATGTCTTTAAAGCTCTGAATGTTAAACTTACAGTTATTGTAACCTTTCTTTTTGAAGTGTACTGCTGAGTCTCTAGGACTTTCTCAACATCTTTATGTCTCTGGAAGTTGTCCCTGTGTGACAACTTCCATGTGGTGCTGGCCAGACAAACCTCAGCACCTTTAATTGGTTTTCAGCCAGTATTACCTGGCTTCTGCCAACAGCATGGCTGAAATGAACTACTGGCAGACAATTAATTATGAGTACATAAGTAGTGCTGGTATTTGTTGAGACTATACAGCAAGAATTGGATAAAATTCTGGACTGTTTGTGGAATTCATCCACCAGCCACTCTAATGTGGCAAGGGAACCAGTCTTCTGTGCCCAGTGAGAGAAACCCATTGTTTTAGAACATCTGAGTTTGTGTCTTCGTGTCCAGTTTGGGCTGTTTTAAAAGCCAAGAAATTGGAAAGAGTTTCCACTTGTTGTTGGAGGCTATTGTAATGAGGTGTGTAACTGTCTTCCTTGTCTGGATAGAAATGTCCTAAATCAAAGCATCTCCATTCCCTCCTCTGCATCTGGATTCCTTCTTGTTGCCATTTCCTCCCTCCTGTAAAGCTGATGGTCATCAGTAACAGCATGAGTGAGTACCCCTACTCCTGCCTGTTCTGTACCCAGCATCCTCAGCCAGGCACACCCTGGAGGAAACTGAGGCTCTTGCCTTTTTCTCCCCATATTGCTGTAGTATCCTTCTGCAGATCTGGAAGTAGCAAAATGTCTTGCTATAACGTAGGTCTTTTGCTCTGAAGTTGGGTGTGTAATTGCTTCTGGATCATATATTCCCTGTTTCCTTCAGTGGGAGGAGCTGTATTAATAATCCACTCTGCAATCAACCCAGTCTTTAGTATTCTTTTGGGCTATTTCTCTCCAAATAATGCAGATCCTTTGGTCCAATTAAAAAAATTGCACTAAATGTCCTCTTCTGCTTATGCATCCATTTTCTCGCAGTGAAATTTCTTGACAGTGGGAGCAACATGCATATGACGTTCAGAACACAAAACAGTAAATGGATGGCAGCAATGGCAGCTCTTGTCTGCAAAAATCTGTGGTGAAACCACGGTAATGTATTGTCATAAATGAAGTTTTATTACAGCCATGTCAGAATACTATCAAAAGAACGAGTGCTACTGTCTGTTTCCATGGAGATCTTTCCTGTTCCCCGGGGAGCCAAGGAATCGCATGGTATTGTGCAGCTATGCCAACTGCAATTAGGCAAGCATGCTGCTTGAGAAATATACATGTGGACAACAACGGCCAAACACGTGTACGCTGTGCTAACAGAGGCTTTTTAAAATGCCACTGATTTTCATATATTCAAAACTAATGCAGCGCAGTGAGTTGAACTAGGTTTTATAAGAATGCTTAGGCTTGTACAGAATTGAGGGGGTGACAGAGGTAAGCACGGGAAGATGACAGGTGAGGTATAAAGAGCGTATTGGCTCTGATGAGGGATATATGCATAAGCATGATCAGCAAATAGTTACCTGCTTATTTCTTAATTTGTGCACATACCTACTTCTTGGTGTTTGAGAGAAGGGTGTGTTTTCTTGTTTCCTTATGTTAAGACCTTTGCTCAAATGTCCTAAGCAACTTGGCCTAGAAAGCCTGATTTACTACTGGTAAGGTTATTTGAGTCAACTTGCTAATTCAGTCATTCTTTAAGTTAGTGCCAGGGAACTTTGATTTTATTTTTTTCTTTTTTTTTTTAATGATCAATTTTAGTGTTGTTTTGTATTCACTTTTTTAATTTTAGCATTGAAATGTGTGCATGTGCTAATTAAATTTAACACTACCTCTTGCTATATCAAAGCCTGCAATATATCTTAGGCATGTATTTGGACAGTTTCCTAACTTCTTTTGTTTAGCTAAAATGTTTACATTTATTACAACAATAGAAAGTGGTGAATCATTTGTTGCATTAAATGTTTTAAATTTGCATGTGTTTATATCAAGCTATATTTGGATGAAGATGTTGGTGCCTTGAAGCACGTGTTTATACTTCTGTTAACCCCTTGCTGCACCACAGTACGTTCCAAGACGTTGAGCAGCCAATTACAAGTTTGAGGGGATATTTTTTCCTTTTTTTTGGGGGGGGGGGTGTAAAATCCTGCCCAGATTCCTTGGCATATTCACAGAATAGCAGCAGCAAGTACTGGAATGGTTTTCCAGGCTGGTAAGAGTCATAGCTGATAACGGATTCATTTTACATGTAGTAACTAAGCTAGGTCCCTTCAGGCTGTGTGGGAAGTACAGTTGGCTGATGAGCAAAGGAATATTAACTTCCTTTTCTACCTAGGGTGCTGTTAAAGCAATTACAGTTAGCAGAAATGCGCCAGTATGCTGCTCTGGAAATTGTAGTATACTGCTTTGCTTGTCTTACTCCTCCGGAGGACATGGCATGGTTTCCAAAAGGTGCTGTTTCCCTTAGTCTCGACCTCCCAGGCTTGGAAGTAGAATATGCTGCTTTTCTGTGCCTGTCTCCTGAAGACTGAGGTGTTGGATGGTATGTTAACCAGCACAGTGATTTGAGAGAACATTCCCTGAAGAAATCATTCTTGAATCATATGAAAGCTTATGCTGTCTTGAAAAAGCTGTTCCACTTCCACTTGCAGAATTGTATACCTCCTATGAATTGGCTTCAGTGTGGATTTGTAGGCAATGTACTCAGTGAGACTGAGGGTTTTGGTCTTCTCTGTTGCATTTCTTCCAAGATTCAAGTAACTCCCAGATGACGGCCTTCTGTTAGGATTGAGAGCACAAATGTTTAAAGCTAAAATCCTTAGGACTACATCATAGTTGTGGGGTGGAGGTGGAGGGAAATATATCACAGCGTGGAAGTCGAGTGGAGGAATGAAAGCAGAACTGAACTGGGTTGACTAACTCGCATGTGGCACTGGAGACTGATACGAAAAAAAACAGAAGGTTTCAGGTTCTGACATATTACTAACTATGAGTTAGAGGGTGACAAATGTTGTGGTGATGATGTAACCTGACCCAGTGAATGTTAGCTGTGAGCATCCATAAGCTTGCTTGACCTGGTGACATTTGGACAGCTGGTTTATGTATGATGTTATAGGGTCTGTTTCTGAAACACAGTGAACAGCCTTATCCAATTTAGAAAGACTATTTCCTTAATGAGTAACAAGAAATATTATCAGTCTAAATGAACTAATTTCCATTAGATTATTCTGCTTGCTCTTGGGTAGGTTTGTTGTTTTTTTTTTTTACTATGATATTTTAAGAGTCCAATTTAGCTTTCTGTGCATATAACCATAAAATGAGTTCTCTTTTAGCAAGACAGTTAAGATGTTTTCAATCACTTGTTGAAAAATGCATGTAGGAACATGGTCATTTTCTATTTGGAGTGATTATTTGTAGGTCTGTTCTTCTGATGCTGTTGAGAACGTGTTGATATTACGGGGGTTAGAGAGCATGGATTCCTTTTTGCCCTTTAGACTGTATTTGTCCATAAATACCAATGGTTTTGAACATATCCAATCTGACTCATGTTAACATGCTCATGGAGAGCACTGCTTCCACCTGCTGCCATTCTGCCTGTTGGAGTAGCCATTCCAGAATCCCAGGCACATCTGGAGAGAACAGGATCACGTGTACAGTGTGTCATATGTTCATAAAAGATACTGTATAAATACACTGTAAATATACCGTAAGTTTCATAACTAAATTAAAAGTGAATGTCTACCTGTATAACTGGTGGAAGCTGTTGGACAGGACCCATCTTGTTGAATCTTTTGGGAAGGGAGAGTCGGCCTTTCATAAGGGGTCTGTGCAGGGGGACTGTCAGTAAGCAGCTGGACAATCACTCTCAGGTAGGACATTAAGGATTGTGGATATTGACAGGCAATAAACACTAGAATAATTCTGCTGTTCTTTGAATAAGTGATTGAATTACTCTTATTGTATTTGAAGGCCTAGTTACTGTCTTAGTAGGAAAAGTTTTACATCAAAACTTACGGTTAACCTGCACACCTTCAGTTTGATGTTATAGTGTTGTCCTTTTTTTGTATGGAACCTGCAGAGCTCAGGCAGTTTGAGACACTGGCTTTCTGTGTCCCTAAACAGTGATTAAATGTAGGCAATCACTTGCAAGATTTGCAAAATGCACGGGACCTTTATTAACACTGATAACTTCAATCGTTTTGTATTTTAAAAGTGACTAGAGAATTTGTCTGAAAATAGGAAGCAATAATTAGGAGATAGCACTGAAGAATTTCTTCCTCCCCCCAATACCTGCTTCTTTCTCATATATATGCATATGCAGTCTTTTCTTGTACATATGTTAAATTAATAAGCTGTCTGGCCTGTGGCATGTTTTTAGGGATACTATGGTCAGATCTGGATATATGTACTTTCTACAAGCTAAACAGGATTTCCTTGTAGATTCCAGTAATAACAGGTTTTGAGAAACTACAGGAATCTTGGTTCTTGTAGTTCTGCGTGCAGGCAGAGTTACAAAGAATTTCAAGTCGATTCTGAGCAAAGCTATTCCGACACTGACACAAATACACTGCTGTCATGCTGGGCTGACTGGAATTTACTCTGTAACTGCGTTTGTCACTTGTCTGTTGCAGGGATTTACCTCAGTATGGGCAGAAGCAGTGGCAATCCTATTTTGGGCGAACATTTGATGTTTACACCAAACTCTGGAAGTTTCAACAGCAACATCGGTAAGAGGATGTTGTACGCGCACATGTTCTGTGGATTTAAGTGCAACTTTAATCTCTGGTATGCCTAGGGCCCCCAGTTAAGACTGAGCTTTCACTGTGTTATTCAAGCATGGAGGGAGGGAATAGTCACTTCCTGTAGTGCTCACAGTCTAATGAATTAAAATGTTGCAGAGTTTTCAGTGTGACTTTAACAAAATCTTTTGCTCTGCTTCAGTGCATGTTGCTTTAATGTATTACCAAGGAGAAGCTGGGATGATGGCTTCTGCAGTGCAGAACCCATCTGGAATGGTGTGAAGCATCTTGCTGCAGCGTGGGCTCCGATCTTTCACACCTTACAGTGGCTGCGTAGTCTGAGTGTTCTCCTGGGAAGTTGTGACCTTTTGTTGTGTGTATTTTGTGCAACATACTTGTGTCTAGCTCTTGCAAGATTATGCAAGATAAATGGTCCTTGTTCTGGTGTGTGTATGCAGTGCAGTTGGCTCTGTGAGGGACCGCTATTGGGAATGCCACACCAGTAATAAAAGCTGAATTTGGCCCTACAATGGCTCTTTGTCTTGTCTGGTGTGATGTTCTGAGAAATTCTGGAATGCCTTTTAATCTTTCTTTTCTCTCTTGCGAAATAGACAAGTATTGGACAATCGGTATGGGTTGAAGCGGTGGCAAATTGGGGAAATTGCTTCCAAGATTGGGCAGCTCTATTACCATTATTAGTAAGTAAGCACAGAAAAGGATTCAGTAGGGGAATGCAATGTTAGTGGCAGCTCCATGCCAAACATCTGGATACTCAGTCAGGAGAAATCAATGTATCAGTTGAGTCATGATGCCTGTTTCTGAATGAGAAGGGCCTTTGGGACTGCATGGGGGTGCTGCAGAGAAAGGCACCTGTGAGCCCGATACCACTTTGCTAGTCACATTGATACTGCCTAAGGACTTATCTCCTACCTCAAAAGTGTCTCTAAGTCTTCCATGCGTGCTGCATTTGACTCTTGTACAAAAGTGTGATTTACAAGTTTGGGAGCTTAATGTTCCTTTAAACTTTTCAATTAACCTGTCACCTGTCCATATGGGTACAAGATGGGCAGATCTGATTGTTATCTGAAATGGAATCCCAGCTCTGAAATCTGTCTTCCCAGCAGGCACAAAGAATGAGAGTCTGGCTTTCATATGATGTTACTTGAGGAGGGAGTTTTGCCATTGATGCACAAGATGGTTGAGGGGGCAGGAAGGGAGGGTTTGGCATGGATTTCCATCTGAAGCAGTGAGCTAATCTGAATCTTCCTCTGCAGCTTGCGCACTTCAGAAACCAGCTATCTCAATGAAGCTTTCTCCTTCTATTCAGCAATTAGGCAGAGGTCATACTACTCCCAAGTCAACAAAGAAGACAGGTATGTCTGAATGAGTGCCCTCGTTTTTTCAAGACTAGAATGGTGTATGAAAGCAGCAAATAACTATAAACTGTAGGAGCTTAACTGGGATGAAATCAGTGTTGTTGAAGGAAGTTTCTTTTAATCCTCCTGCCATGATTAAAAACCTCAGTATAAATAAGAGCTTTGCTGTATGATTGGAGGAATATTCTATTATCTGGTCCTGGCTAGAAAGCTATTAGCCCCAAAGTTCTGTCATTTTGAGTCCTGAGCAGTATCAGTGCTGGGACCTAGTATGTTGTGGCTTGAAGATAGGTCAGTTGGGCTGAAGCGGAGGAACATGTTTGATTCTAATCAGGCTTTTCAGGGGAACATCAGTTAGTACTGCAGTACAACAGCCCGCTGTAACTGACTGGGACAAGGTCCAAGAGCTTCAGGAGGCATAACATCTTCCTTTAAGACACTATGCTGAGAAAGGTACGCTTTGCAGGGCTGTGTTGTGGTAGTGCAGAAGATGTGCTGCCTGCCAAGAACATAGAAAGATATAAATAAGAATAGGTAGACAACTCAGTTCTGGATCCTGATCTTAGATTCCAGCCAGTAAACCTGGGCTCCCTCATCAAACTAAAGTTAAAGAAGAAATGATCTGATGTCATCATCGAGATAAATGCAGAAGGGTAGTTAGGGAGTTTCCTGCCAAGCATTCAAGGATCTCTGGACTTTAATTATATGTCTCTAGTCTTGCTGATGTCCAAATGCACCTGTGTGCCACAAAAAGATGAAAGTTTCCCAGCTCTGTTCTGATATCTGTTGACATCTATTATCTTCTCTCTTAAAAATCTCTCAATTTCAGTCTGAATGTTTGAGCTGTTTCAGACAAGGTAGGATTGACCAAGCATGTTTCTAGGTGCTGTCAGAAGATTTTAGAAATGAATGAGTAATTATGGGCTATGCTGACTTGCAGATCTTTAAGTTGTCCCAGGTGGGTGAACTCTGAGCCAGCTATGATTATCATGTGATGCAGTGGGGTCAGATAGTGCCCATGAACTGTCAAAAGGTTTGAAGAGCCAGCAATTATATCTGACTCCCATGCCTGTTCTCATGTAAGGAGACTGTGGGGAAGGGAGAGGCTGTGGCTTTCTTGATGTATATTTTATGTCTCTCTACTCCATTTTAAATAAATCTCTGAGCAGCCAGGTAGCTATTGACTTCCACATGAATTCAGTTAGAACTCTTAATCTGCGGAGTGTTCAGCCTCGCTCTGGTCTTAAACTCCTCCTCTCCCTTACCCCTGTTGCTTACCTATGTTCTATTTTAATCTCAGATTTGGCTGTGGTGTTTTTGTTGTTGTGTTTAGGCCTGAATTAGTGGTTAAGAAGCTGCGTTACTATGCGAGGTTTATAGTGGTTTGTCTCTTGCTCAACAAAATGGATGTTGTAAAGGACCTTGTAAAGGTATGTTAAAATGAGGATAAAGGTGGTGAGGGGTGGGAGGTTGCTGGTTATTGAGGGCTTTTCTCCTAATTAAGGAAGCCATGAGATAGTCTATTTCAGTTGAAATATCACTTATTAGATCTGTGATGTTAGCTGTTGCTGCAGCATAGCTTTTCTCCCCCGCCCCCCCCATTTAATTGATTGTGCTGTTGTATGCCACAGAAGGAAGGAGTAACATGGCTAGAGCTATGGAAAGACTCAGTATGATGTGAATATTTGGCTAGAGAAAAACTTTACAAATTTGTATAGTTAATTAGGAATAAACTGTAAGATGCATGTTATTAATCTGAAAATGTGGGGATCATCCGATAACTCTGAGTACATCTTCATTCCTGTGATGGATTTAAGACATTGGTGGAATCTCCCCCAACAAGCCTTCATGACACACTGTTGCTCGGAAAGCCCGTGTCTCCTAGCTTGATGTTGAGCTTATTTCTCTTCTCTTCCAAACTGCTATTGCTCTGTCCTGTGTCTAGAACACATCCTGAATACATTTTCCACCTTTCAGAGACCCATCAAAATTAAACCTTGCTAAATAATGTTGATATTGCTGTGAAATTGGAGGGGCTGGATCTGCATATGCCTCTGCCATGGGAGTAAAGCACTGAATGCCTATAAATGCAAGTCTTTAGGTACAACAAATAGAGTACAGGCCAATGTTGATCATTGCTTTTCTAGTATATCTGACATCCAACATAGCGAATATCTTCTGTGAATCAGACATTTAATAATGACACTTTAAGCTCAACTGATTTGATAGCATTGTTTGAACACCAAGTAAAAATACTCCAATAGCTGCAGCCTAGATAGGGAGGTACACTTTAACTACAGCAAAGGAACAGCATGCTTCCCCTAACAGCATATGCTTCCCAAACCCCTCTAACAACCTTGCTGCAAGCAGCTTCTGGTATTGACAGTTTTGTGTAGGTTGCATTACTGTCTTTGTGTCTAAGCTTACTTGAACTGCTAGCTTAGCTTAGTAGCAGCTAAAAAAGCCATACCATTCACTTTCTCAGTGTATTTAAAGTTACTTCTAAGCTGAAATTTGAGTCCTTGGTATCCGTAGCTTATGGTAATAACCAGTGACATAGCTGTATGTGAGTGGGATAGTTATACTTAACTCCAGATATTCTTTGCATTTGGACCTACTTAAAAGACACTTTGCATTGCCAAAACTCAGTGTAACATTGGCATTCTGTCTCCTGAAAGAGCGCGTTTTGGCTGGCATGTTAGTCATAAGTGTGCTGCATATGTTCTCAAGTAATTTTTTTTTTTTTTTTTTATTATTCTTAAAGGCCAGCACAGCTAACCAAATTGTAAAGTTACTGACTGCTTGTTAAGCTCTCAGTTTAAGAAGTGACTATGTCTGTCTTTGAACTTTTTACATCAGGAGCTGTCAGATGAAATTGAAGACTATACTCATCGTTTTAATACTGAAGATCAGGTGGAGTGGAACCTGGTTCTTCAGGAAGTGGCAGCGTTTATTGAGGTGAGAATACCATTCCCTTTTAGTTATTAGCTTAAAAGTAAATTTTTCTGACCTGTTCACTGAAGTGTTCTTGTATTACCACCTCTATGTGGTAAGCAGGTGTGCCATGTGTAGGGACAGTATTCCTGTCTAATTTAATCATTGAATTTGTTCACAGTAGTATAACAGTGACAGCTGTTAAAGTGTCTGAAGAGTCAGACCTGGTCATGTAACGTATTGAAGACAGAAGCATGAAGCTGAAATACACTTGGTCACCTTACTGGTTTTGCTCTTGGTGTTCAGAAAATGGTGGAATTGAAAGCACAGCAGTTTTCATGGTCAAGATTTTGGAGAGACTACCAACTCTAGTTCTGTTGTTGTGGAAGCCAATCCAATTTGCTGATGCTTAGGTGTGTTTCAAAGTGTACTTTGTTGGAGTACTGGTCTATTACACTGGGAACGCATAAGCAGTATATAATGGAAAATATGGTGTAAGCATGGCAGTTAACTGATAGGCTCTTAGCATAGTCGTAATGTGACCAACTTACAAAGTTTGTTAAAAGGAAAAGAAATTTTTTTTATTCTGTCAAATGAGACAGTGTTCTACTTTCCTCCTTTTGTACAAAATGTCACTATGTAACATGAGTATTTATTTAAATATTGCCAGAATGGATGGCAGCGTTATCATTCACCTTCTTTGCTATTTATTTCTAGGAAGGGGAGGCGAACTAAAAGAGTACAGGGTTCTTCTGTGTTGTAGGAATGTTTAGGTTAGACTTCATGAATTTGTAAGGTTGTTGATGACATTTAGTTCCTCAGGTATAGAACAACTGAAGCAGAGTTCGTGTCATTTGAGGAAGTATGTTTTTCTATTTGCTCTACCTTCATGTGCTTGTACCATGTATTTGCTTGCAGTCCCTGAGAGCTGTTGCCTTTCCAGGTGGTAAGACATCACTCTGTAGCCTGCATAGAAATATATGTATGGCAAATTAATTAAAAAAATCTGCCTCAGTTATGAAATGTTTACTGTCAGTGACAAGACTTTTGGACTTCTCTCTGACTGCAAATCTGTATGTTTTCCTGAATTCCTGATTTATTCTGGTTGCTTTTTTTAGGCAGACCCTGTCATGGTTTTAAATGATGACAACACCATTGTAATCACCTCTAACCGGCTTTCTGAAACAGGAGCGCCATTGCTAGAGCAGGGAATGATAGTGGGACAGCTTGCTCTTGCAGATGCACTGATTATTGGGAACTGCAACAACCAGGTAAAAGAAATTCCGGGGACTTGGGTTTGTATCTTTGGAGTTCAGAGTCCTTCCCCCTGTGACATCCCTTCTGATCATGTAACAAAGATTCCAGTAGAGGCAAACATTAAAATATTTTGATTGTGATGTTTGCAGTGGCAGCAAGAGGAGGTTCTCGGAAATAAGAGCTAAAAATGAAATATTAGATATTAGACCTCTTATTGCTTATATTCATCATGTCAATTAAGTAGATACAGTTGATTTTCATATACTGGATTGTTCTTAAAAACATTCAAGCATGAGAGGCCTCTGGGGTATGTCTAGAAAAAGCTTGACTTAGGCTTTCATATGACATACTCCAGCTTGTTGCAACAGGAAGGGGTTTTCAAAAGACATTCAAGATCTTGTTTTTTAGATGATGATGATAGTGAAGTTGTACAGACTTCATGACTTCTCTCTGAGCTCTTTTTTCAGGTAAGCAAGGGAGTTGTATCTAAACTACAGCTTGTGTATCTTTCAGATTTTGTTTGAATTCATAGTACTTAAGTTTCAGCACTTGATTTATAAACATCCCAGAAAAGTCTGTAATTTCTGAAGTCAGGGTCTGCACTACAGTGAACTGGCCTGGTAGACCAGTAAAATAGACTCTGTCCTCTGCAAGCTCTTCTAAAAGTCATTCACAGGTCTTTAGAGATTCAAAGATGACACTGACAGATCCTTGAGAGACAGAAAATGGTCTGTTATGCAGTTGAATCTCTTCCCTGGATAATTCCAAAAAGTACTGTTTAAGTTGTATCTAGCAGAATAAACTGGTTGACTCTTTTGCAGGTCAAGTTCAGTGAATTAACAATTGATATGTTCCGAATGCTACAAGCACTTGAAAGGGAACCAATGAATTTAGCATCACAAATGAACAAACCTGGAATGCAGGTAAGTTCCATTTCAGTGACAAACCTGGCAACAGATCTTAACTGGGTTTTGTTTGTTTGTTTTAAATGGTGTACTCTTTCAGTATTGTGACTGTGCAAAGCAAATTGGTAAAGCTGGTGTAACTCTTACTGGAAGTTAGTGAAGAGTAGCTCAAACCTGTGGAGTTTGATCCAAGTAATGTGTTGTTTCTGTCATCGTCGTCACCCCCCTCTTTTTTTTCTCCTTAGCAAACCTTCAATAGTGGAAAAAATAGCAGAAATGAGTATTTGGGCATCATTTCACAAATGGTTTACATTGGTCTAGCTGAGGTATTTCTGAAGGGGTGCCATGCCTGTCCTTGTCCATATACATCCACCCCTTCCTTTGTTTTCATTCTAGCAGGCATGCAGCCAGATAAGTTCAGCTTGCTAAGTCATCTGAAAGTTAAATATCCCCTTCAGAGAAAGTGTAAAATATATTTTATCTGGAGGCAAAAGGAAATATGTAGATTTTCATTTATTTAATTGAGGAGTGAATTTTTTCACTCTTTTCTTGGGTGATGCTTTAGAGAGTAAGAAAGATTTAGATAAATTTAAATGAGGGATAATATAAAGTTCTGGTTCAACTACTGTGCATCTTGCTTTACTGTGTAGTAGGAAATGCAGCATGGGGAGACCATTTGTGTGGGAAGTATCTTGAAGGTTAACATTCTAATAAATGGAAATTTAGAGGGTTATGAAGCTGCTTTGGTAATACACGGTTGTTGAATTTGTTTTGTTTTGTTTTTTTTCAACAGGAGTCAACGGAGAAACCAGCCAGGCGGGAAAACCCCCATAAATATCTACTTTATAAACCAACTTTTAGCCAGCTATATACATTTTTAGCAGCATCATTTAAGGTTTGTGAAATTGGTGAATTTATTTGTAACAGAAAAATATCCAGAATGTGTGTGACACTGAATAAAATGTGGTTGAGATAATCTTTTATACTTCAAGATAATGAAGCCTTTTTGGCCTTCTTAAAATGTTCAATATGATCTTCAGAGAGGATGGAAATATTATAGATATGTGTAATTTGTATAATAAAGGCAAATCTGTTGACTACTGTTAAGGGAAAGAAAAAAACTCATTTTAAGACAGAACCCCAGATTGCTGTTAGACAGCAGTTATATCATGCTAAAATACAGTCATCGTCAAAGCAAATCTTGAAAAAATCCTGTGCAAGCGGTCTTAGTACTAGCTGTCCAGTATCAAGCATGCTGCATGGCAGTACTATGGAAAGCCTTAATTAATGTGATGTAATAGTTGCATATGATTTAATCTTATCCAGTAATTTTATCTGTGCATGTGTAGGTACACACACATATATACAGACATTTATATTTATATATACAGACATACATATATAACAAGAGTTTCCTATATAAAGTTTATTTATTTCCTATATATATATATATAATATAGGAAATATTTCTTGAGGTAAGAGAACTGGAGAACAGAAGAATCTTGACAGTGTTCTTCTACTTTGTGTCATGCCAAACACAATCCAAAATCAGGGAAGTATGTCAAGAAACTGTTGCTCTTAAGCACTGTGTACTTGGCAGGTCTCCAGTTCTGTATTCCATTTAAATTGTATCTCTCTCCTGCACATGCTATATTTTTATGTGCCTGTCTTATTTTGTTACCCACTGCTGTCTTACATGTAAGTAATCTATACATTTGTAGACTTGTTTTAATACAGTTCCTGTGCTTATTTTAATTTAATAAAGTTGCTGGCCTCATTATGCTTAATTATGACTGTACAAGTCAGCAACTTAAGATTTAGTAGTAAAACCAGAATATGAATCCTATAAAGAAACAAGTTACAGTTTGTTTCAAGAAACAACCGTAAAGAAACAGCTGGTGAGGTGAAGGAAGTGCATCCTTACTACTTAGAATTTTGGGTGCTTATATGCTCAGCCTTTTGCAGAAATTAAAAGCATCTGTTTCGTCTTGCAGACAGCCCATTAGAAAGGTGGAAAAGAGATTTCTTTTACACGTCTGTACAGAAACCTGGATGTGTTGTGCTTGTTGTCCAGCTGAGACGGGTCAGGGGAAGAGGCAGATGTTGCAGACCCTGGGGTATTTGGAAACAAAGAACTTCCTTTAGGATCCTCAATTGTTTGGGAGTTAGGGTCTGCATGGATCTTGGCAGCTTTTGGTTTCCATATCTTGGAGAGCCTCAGATCTAGCTAGGTAGTAAGAGAGTCTTATGTGGAAGCAGATGCTTTTTTAGTGCTGCTTGAACCTCTAATATCAGCCTAGAGGTCTGTGTGGAAAAAAAAATTATGAACGTATCATCAGTTTATATTTTTGTCTGTGTGCTCACCTATTTGAAGGGGTGTATGTGGTGGGGAAGGGTATATACACATATGAAGAATAGGGTGAAGGGAAGCCAGAAGCAGGAGTAGCACAATCTTAAATGACAATGTATTTATGAAGATGATGATTGAATATTAAAACAAACGTATACATTTCTTCCCTTGCCACTCTTCTCTTTACTTGAATTTCAGGAGCTGCCTGCAAACAGTGTACTGCTGATTTACTTGTCTGCCACGGGCGTGTTTCCATCAGGTCGTTCGGATAGTGAAGGTACAATAAAGGAATGCTCCCTGTCATGAACAGGGCTTGAATTCTCTTTATGTTCCAGGACAAGTGACCAAGAAAGATGTCACAAAGCTCCTTTTAAAAGACAAGTCAATTTTATTCTCCCATCTATTTAGTAAGATAGCCTTTTTTTTCCACAAACAATAGTTAATTCCCTGTGTTTTAATTAGTGTGCATTAACCTGAGACCTTTTCAAAGGACTTTTCCAGTTTTTGATGCATCTGAAGTATTAAAAGCTTCACCAATTTTGAAGACCACATGGCTCAGTTGATGCATCACTGCAAAGTTAATAAAATGGCTAAATGGCACTTTGTGATTCTTTCCAATCTCCAGTACTATGAGAACATACGGTCAGGGGATGGGTGGTAAAAGGGCTGAAGCGTCTGCAGGGACTGTTGTATTTGCACGCTTGTTAACCTGACAATTCAAGCCCTTCTCATGATTTTTGACAATTCCCCTCACCTCATCCTCCTGTTCTTTGCAAGCTAGCAGAATATTTGGATGCAGCTGCAATCTAAAAGCTGAAAAGTGGTTGGCTGAAGTAAACACAGTCAAAAGATCTGTTTATATAATTTAAGGGGGGGGGGGAAGTTTTTAACATCCTAAATATTGTACACACCTCATCTGTTTGAGACTTGCATTCCTTTATAAGATGCATGCCTTGTCCATCCCAGTGCATGATTTATAGAGCTCTCAAAATGTTAAAGGAAAAAAAATCCCTGTCAGCTTTGGATTGTGGCAGTGATTTTTTTTTTTTTAAATGCTTTTAACATTTTACTTTTTGCTGCAACTTGGTGATAGGTTCTAACTAAACCACGTTCTTTAAAGCCTGTGATATGTCCACTTCACTGCATGTATTGTTTCAGCTTAATACCTTACTGTAGAGGCATCCAGGCTCTGTTGTCTGAAGAGCTGCGTAGTCAGACTTCAGTTTTCATTAAATAAATCCCATTACAACTGCATTATTTTAATAAGGTAGGGTAGTCTGCACAGACCAAAAAATTCTACCTTATTAAAACGGAGAGCAGTTGCAAGTTGCACTGTTTATTGCCTGTAAGCCATTTGTGTTTGCCAGATCACACGAGACATTTGTAACAGTGCTAAATTAATGTATGTTCTGTTCCTAATTTTATATTCCCAAAGCTTCCCTTAAAATGGAAAGGTGTATTATGTATCCAAATGTGAAAAAATTGCATTTGGTGGCCAAATATGGGTCAACCAACTCTGCAAATGTATAACAGAATGAGGAAATCCTAAGACTTTATTTCACTAACGTTACTGACATTTCATACCCATATCAATGGCAGAATATTTCCTGGTATCTCTAGCACATTTTTTCTGGTGTAGGATTTGATATTTTTTATAGTCATTACTTTCACCTTTGCTCTTCCTCAGACAGGCAGGTAGCTCAGTTGTGCAAACTTAGCAAAATATTTCTTTAGCTTACCTTCGGAACATGTGTCCAGGCTGTGTGCATGTAAAAATTGTGAATTCTGTATTTGAAATCTTAAAAAAATAAACCTTTGCTGCAGATTTGAAATCTGGTTTTGTCTTTTCTAGGAGTACTGAAAGCATATTCATTCTCTGAGCTCTCTCTTCTCCCCTTTGCAGTGTTATAACTGCAGATGATAGTATTATATCTATTCTGAGAGGCTACAGGGGTTTTGATTGATTTAGCCTTATTTTTTGATCAAATTCTGAATTAGAATATACTAGCTCATATAGTAATTTTACAAAGATATTAATTTTCCTGTATGAAATGTGTAATGGGTTTTAATCTTTTTGCTGTGTAGTGTAACAAGAGCCAATATTTGGATCTTTTGTATTATGTTTATGGATAAGTAGCGAATAAATAGATTAGAAGTTATGAAGTTGCATTGCTTCCTTCTATTTCATAGATGGTGAAACTACTAAAAATGCATAAAATTGAATATGTAGTTAGTAAAATCTCCAAATTCCTCCATCCCCTCCTTACAACTGTAGTAGTTCAGATTCACTTAGTTTTCTGGGATTTGTGGTTGCTTCCTCCCTTTCATATAATCATTAAATCCATAACAGAGGTGAGTTGCCTCTGCTAATTTTAGCTTTCTTTTTGCCATGTGTAGGTCCATATGATTTTGGTGGCGTTCTGACAAATAGTAACCGGGACATCATAAATGGAGATGCTATCCACAAGCGAAACCAGTCTTACAAAGAGATGCATTGGTAAGTTTCATGAGTGTGACAACTGCAAATTCAGAAGAATTTGTCTTTAATAGAGAAAAATGCATCAAAAGTGTCTTGAATTCAAACTCTTCAGTGCAGGACATCGTAATGTAGATTGGCTCGAAGTTGAACAATTAGAAATGAATATGCAACTCTAAATGATGATTTAAACACTCAAAAAGTATTACTGTGACTTAACGTAAATTCTTTATTACTGGAAAACTTCAAATTAATGGTGGATGGATGGCATCTCAAGAAGATAAACATCTCTTGTTGGGAAAGAATTAAGTCCAACAGCCCATATTATAGAGAATACCAAATTAGTTTTGCAGTTACTCTCTGAGGATGAATCTGAGGACTGGGGCATGGGGAATCTGCTTGCTTTTTATCTGGACATGGGCAGCTGTGTGTCTGAGAAGCTTGTGCACTGTCACAGCTTTGCAGCGGTTCTAGTGGTCTGTGAAGTGTCCCTTTCTGTTTTCAGTCTTCACCCTGGAGATCTCTACCCTTTCACAAGAAAGCCCCTGTTTATCATTGTGGACTCTTCAAACAGTGTCGCCTATAAGGTAAGGTTCTTGAAGGCAGCTACTCATATGATAGGATACAGTGTCAACCCCTAGTTAGCTTACACTTTTAACAGGATATTTTTTTAAACAGTTTGTATTCAGTCTTTCTTTTCTTTTGAGGTTGTGCATGCTAGTCAGGATCTGATCCTATGAATAGGAACAAGAAGGAGAAGCACATGAACAGCCGCTCATTGGAAAGTAATAAATCCTCCTGGAGGGAAAAAAGGTTCAAGATTTCCAAGGTCTCTGGTGGGAGGTTTATTTTTGTTATATACCAAAGACAAATCTTGGTGTGTGTGTATGGGGGAGGGAGATAACTAATCTGCTTTTTTTTTTTCCAGTCATCCAACACTCAGTTGCTTTTAGCAACAGAAAGGAGTCAAAGCATTGAGCCTGATCTTATAAAACACGGGGTCTCTGTGTCTGAAAAGTATGTGAACCAAGGAAATAACAAGACTCAAATTAGCATCCAGTGTTACTGTAGAGTGGTATATGCTTGGACAATGAGCCTCCTTCCTAGGGGGCTGTGGACATACAGTAGAATTACTCCATGCCAAATCACCTTTGAGAATCTGCAATTTGGGTAATACAGAAGCAGGCAATTTCAATCTCAGTTGCCAGTTGAATCTGGATAGCATTATGACATTTATTTTATTCATGAATGGGATATTAAGATTGTGCTATATCTGGGTAAAGTGCCACTTCCTTATGTCTTCCTTCTTATAGCTCCATTATGTGCAGTGAGAAAAGTGAACGTTCACAGCTGCATTTCAGAGGAGGAATAGGGACGTCTAGTGGCCAGATGAACTTGTTCCTTGTTCAGTATCCACAGTCTGCGTCATTTGTTTTAAAGGCATTTGTTGGCCAATGAGAGGTACTAAATCAGTAATAAGTATGATTCAGAATAGTTCTGTATTGAGCCAGGGAACTTTCACCTGACGGTCTTAATAATGATCTAGCCTCTCTGTAGGGTTTTTGGTTTGTTGTATTGTAATGCATTTCAAAGGGCTTTTTAAATCCTACTGCATTTAACTTCACTGCACTAGATTTCTGTGCAAATCTGCTTTTTATTAAATTCTCTTCCCCATTTAAAGGGAGGAAAACACAATTAGAATGATTTCACTTGTCTTTCTGAGAAAATGAGGTTTTGGTAGGGTTTTATTTTCCTCTGCTCTTTCCTGACATTCATTCCAGTATAACAGCAGGGGGGTTTGGTTTTGTTTCAGGGGAAGAAGTGTGGCTTGGGTTTGGTTTTTTGTTTTGTTTTGTTTTACCCCCTTCCTCTCTGGTAGAATTGCTGAAGGATGTCAAGTGGATCAGTTCTGTAAGAGAGAGTAAGGGATTGCTGGTCATCCTTAATTCAAATACAGCTCTGGACATACCAGGGTTCTGTGGACAGCTTAGAGCAAAGGATCTTTTTGAGGTCATGGATTCCCACGTGTAGATTTGTAGCTCTTGTGAGAATAACCATCAAGTGTTTACAGTAGAATTCACTTCTTGTATTACATGTAAATTTGATAGTTGAATTTTCTTTAGATTTTGTGGGCACACAGTAAGCAAAAACTGTAACCTCCATTTAGTTTCTTTTCCTTGTTCGGCAGTGAACTGACCATCAGTAGTGTAAAATACACCAGTGTTCCGTCTGTTAAGCGCACAGAGCAGCTGATGTGAGAGAAGTCCAGCTCTGCCTGTATATAAGGAGTATAGAAATGTGAGTTTTGGAAATATTTCAGGGCAGGATTATGGAAGTGGCTGCTAGGAGCTCTGACCCAGATCACAAGCATGTGGGCACAACTGTGAGGACACTAGAAAGACAATGAAGAAAAAAAAAAAAGAGCATGGACCCCTACTTAAAAAAAATATATTCAGCATTTGAGAACTCACATTCACTTTCACAATCTATTGCCATTGAACCTAGGCAGATATATATGTGGGGATGGGTTTAGGTGTTTTGTTTTGTTTTCAGCTGAAGGTAGATGGCAGAGCTCTCAATCTCAGTATTTTCTAGCCCTTGTAAATTCGTGTCTGTCATCGTGCTGTGCATGCTTACGTGCTTGGTTCCTGGTTGCCAGAATATACTGGTAGTGCTGACTATCCTCTGGGTGTGTTGTGAGATGTTTTGTAGACTCAAGCACTGGCACAAACAAAGAGGTTGTGGGCAATTGTGTGAGAAGTTGAAGTCAGTGTGCTGACTTTTTTCCACATGGCTGCTCTGATCTTTTCTGATAGGAGAGTAGCTATCCTGACATTTAAATGTCACTGCTAGCAATACTGGCAGTAACAGCAACTGCTCACACATCTTTTTCTACAGCCCGTTTCTGCTCTCCTGCATGCATTCTCATCCTCTCCCCCTCTCTGGAGGGCTTAAATGGTGATGACTGAAAGTAAGTCCTGCCAGGAAGTGACTTGCCAGTTTGTCAAATCAGCGGCACTTGAACAGCTTCCTCCCATGTATATTTAGCTGAAAGTGGAAGATAACTGCGAATCGAGCATATCTACTTAAAGCCATGATTTTTTTTTTTAACACTTCCATTTAAATATAGATGACTGTGTTCTTGAAGGTTACCACTGTATATGTGGATTAAATAATATTTTTTAAATCAGTATCTTCTTGTAGTTGTGGTTGTCTAAGATTATGGTCAAATGAAAAGTCTTGAAAAAAGCAAACCAAAACAAAAACTCCAGCCAGTAAGAATGCAAGGCCTTTGTCAGTGATGTGGTATAAATACTTAGCTTAGTAAAGCTTACATGTGAAGTGACTTCTTTTGGAAAGAGATGTATATGACATGCATTTTAAAAAGCAGCAATGCCTCTGTTGGAAAACTTGAATACTGAAGTAGAAAAACAGAGTCAATTTTGAAACAAAAATGTGTTTTACCCTTTTTTGAATTGTCCATGCACTGAAAGGTAGGGCATTCCTTATCCAGAGATGCTACCAACATTTAGACTGCAGGGCAGGTTTTCCTGGTGCACCTTGTGGTCCTCCACTCCAAGCCGTGGCTGTAACATGCTCCTGTTCCTTTGTTGCATGTATGCCCACAGTGCTTTTCTGTGGAAATCAGGAGCGGAGGTGGTGGTGGTGAGTGAATCCTGGTGTTCGCTTGGACTATGGTAGGCAGCTGTGTCTGGCCGAGAGCTGAGACAGGTGTAGTGACTGGCATGAGTAGCTGTCTTCCAAAGGTTGCGTTCTGTGTTAAACCGTGTAGTTTCTCCCCTTTGCAGGACTTACTAGCTATGTTGACTTAACCTCCGCTGGGACAGAGTCCAAAATGATCTCAGATACTGTCAGTGAGTAATACCTTTCCTGAGACATGAGTGACCCTTGGTTTTGCTTCATAGCTGTAGGCAGTGTTTAATTGCGTTGTCATTTTTACTGATGGGGTGTATGGAAAGTCTGCTTTAGTCTCTAACTGGGTGATACAAGATAGAATTCAACATGTGAATCTGCTTGTGAATACTAAGCATACATGTTACTTGAGAACGTGTAACCTGTCATTGTGTATTCAGCTCAAACTGGCAACGTCTGGGGTGACTCCTGGAGTTTTAAATGTTTCTTTATAGTACTGGGTTGGCCTGCAGTTACTGTCTTCATGATAATAGTCTTTGTTTCTTCATTAGAGACCAAACCTTAGTATCTAGCATTATAACTCTCACTTGGGCTTTTAAAGAAATAGAAGAGGTTTTAGGACTAGTCAACACTCTGTCAGATATGGGAAATGTTTTATTTTGATTAGACTAGATTACTATCTTTAGTATTTAGCAGACTTAGATTAAATTAAATCAGTGAAACTAATTTAATTGAAATATACTACCCAGAAGGGAAATTCCATTTTAATTAAGCAGAAGCCAGAAGAAATTAAAAAAATAGCTTTTTGATGATTCTGCACAAGCAAATACTTCTGGTGTTGTATGTCTTACATTCGTAACCTGCCAATTTTAAGAATATAATCTACAGACGTGTGTTGCTTTCATGCTCTGGATGCATGGTTTGAATGTGTGCTCTGATAGGATGCAGACATGATCATTAACATTTTGTATGGCTTTGCAAGCCTTCAGTTTTAAGAAGGCTGTTTTGGTGAGACATGTGACAGCTAATGAGGTTGTGTAAATGATTTTTTTTTTTTCTTGTTGATAATTATTACCAATCAGTATACCTACCAGACAGATACACAGTAGGACTGTTATCAGGTAAATGTTGGTGAAACTGGACAACGGTGTCGTTTGAGGTTTCTGGAGAAATTTGTGTCCAACAGGACACTTAGGCAATATTTAAGGTGCAGGTGGAAGGTGCATGAAATTAGTATTGTAAAATGAGGGTTCAGTATAGCAGATGTTAAGGTTATGACATACTTGCTGTAAAGGAATCTTATTTTAAAACTTTTCTTCACTGGGCTCTTCTGTTACACCAGAAATAGTTCCTCCTGCTAGAAAGAAGAGGGGAAAGAAATTACTTTGACTGGATAGTTCAGTTGGTATTGAGGAAAGACACTAGATCTATTTTGACCTGAAAGCCAATGGCTTTCACTTTTACTGCAGAACATGATTTTTTTTCCAAGTACTGTATTACTACTGAAAGCTGTATTTTCATGAAATTAGTGTCTGCTGTCAGTAGCAATGAAATGAGAGAATTATAATTCCTTTAAAATGCAATGGGTTATATTCCTTCTATGCTGTGATCTATGAGCAAGTCAATTTGTCAGCCTCACTGCCAATGCTGAACTGTGTGATGGGCATTAGTGTGTTTTCTGGCATTACTAGCCTTTGTACTCTTAACCTGCTGAATATTCAAAAGCAAGCAAAGTGACCATCAATACTTCAAAATTCTTATCTGTTACAGAATTTCACAAACTTATTTGGACAACCATTGGTGTGCTTGCTTTCTCCAACAGCATATCCAAAAGCATTACAAGGTATGTGTAGTATTGCATTTCCTAACAAGTTGCCATTGCATCATATATTTATCCCAAACAAGTATAACTTAGATTCTTCATGAAAAGATAGCTTTTCATCACTATGTAATCCCTAAATCAGATTAACATTTCCTGAAGTAATACGATAAAGTTTAGTTACTGTTTATGGCAAATAATTTATTCTAACAATCATGATATTTCTACGGATAGCTTCAACAAGTGCTAGGAGGCAAACTCTCTCCTACATGGAGACTCAGAAAATTGCCAGTGCAGTGCTGGAGCGATGATGATGATTAGCACTTTGGGTAGATTTATTAGTCCCAGAAAGTGAGCAGAGTCAGTTTAAGGTATCAACTTTTAAATGCCAGGTGTAGAGCAAAATTTTCTCAGATCTTGTTCTGATTTTGGAGGGTAAGTTAAAGAAAACTGTTGGCTTGGAAAGCCCTGAGAAGGTGCGTTTATAATAGGAACAGGCAATGAAACATTATGTTCTTCAGCCCTTGTGACTACTATAAAATATAAATCATTCCAGACTTTCTCATTGCAATTTGCCATGTTAAGCTTATTATCCATCACAGAGACAAGTACAAAGGTCTAGCTTAAGCCACGTAGAGTGATATTAGGCAAGTATCATGAGAGAATGTGCAAGAAGTGGAAGCTTCTCATTTGTTTTGAAACTATTCCTGTTATTTAGCTGAAACCTAGGTAGAAAATAAGTACTGTAATAATGAATCCTGTTTAAACAGAAACTCTGAAAAATAGAACTAACTTTATAAAATGCTGGATGCTTATATTGTGTTCATGGAACAGTCAGGAAAGTCATGCTGTCGTTCTGGAGCCGTGCTACACTGTGCTAGAGCATCATGCAGAGACTTCTTAGCTGAACCTAATTGAGCCCCTGTGTCACTATAGCATTATACCATGCATGCTGTGTGCCCAAGTCCTGGAAAAAAAAACCCAAATGCACCAAAACAAATCAGTAATCCTTGCTGATGAGGAAGTGGCCTTACCATTTAGGCGTATGATTTTATGTGCATTGCCTTTCTTTTTGACTTCCCAGTTAATTGAGATAAAGCTTGGACTCCTGTCTATCATGTTGAACTGCATGGAGTAAATGAGCTTTAGGATATTGTGATGCCCAACAAAGGGCAACTATGTAGACTTTGGGGGGGGGGTGTATAGGTTCAACTGCCTGGTTTTTTGAATGGAATAAGAATGTCCATGTTTAATACTTCTCTTTAGTATTTATAATCAGTATCTTCTGTCAGTTGTTTCAGTTATGACTTTTGTGTTCAAGTTATGTGCTCAAAATGAAGACATAGGCCTCCCATGATTCATGAGAAAATCTCATTTCTCTTGGTGTTAATACACATCTCCAGTAAGCCTTTATTGCTAGTCATTGCATCATCTTGAGAATAGATCTGCCACAGGAGGAGAGAAGATGTAACTAACACAGAGGAGTAGTTCCTCTGTTACAGAATTTAGTGGGTGAGCAGCTTCATTCAGTGGTAGGGACAGCTTTTCAGTTTCATGTGTCAAATGTATCTCTTTGTCTATTTATTTATTTATTTATTTTAGATCAGTCTCAGCGGGGTAGCCTCTTCACACTCTTTCTGAACAATCCTTTAATGGCATTCCTGTTTGTCTCTGGATTATCAAGCATGCGCAGAGGATTGTGGGAGAAGTGTCAAGATTACCTTAGAAAAATCAACCGAGATATTGCCCAACTGCTGACCCACTCACGATCCATAGGTACGTGCCTAAAGATGCACAGCTGAACCTTAGTGTGCTGCTTAAGCAGATGCTGTTTTTTCTTGCTCAGCCTTTTGAAAGGACAGCATAGTGAATAAGGGGAATGCACAAGAATTTGTAGTGCTTTCCCCCATGTCTCTCTCTCCCCGTTTTGGTTTTTTTTGGTCTTGTTTTGGTTTTTTTTTTTAAAGCCTTTCTAAACTGAGTTTTCTTTGCCTTCTCTACAGATCAGTCCTTTCTTCAATTTTTTGGGGATGAATTTCTTCGCTTGCTTCTAACAAGATTTATCTTCTGTTCGGCTACTATGAGGATGCACAAAATTTTCCGGGTATGCAGGGATATCTATCCCTTTGTGAGAATGACAGTCCAGTGCGTATAGAACTGCACTGCCTCAGGATGGAAGGGTCTTAGGGCTAAGCGTATCACTGTGACTTCAGAAAGATAACTGATGCTCACATGCTAATGCTTACAGCTTGTATTGAATCTGTGCCTTTGTACTTTGACTTGCTGAAGCCTTATTCTTCTACATAAGTAGCAGACACACTCCAATTCATTTATGTCAGAACAGCCTTGTCTGCTAGAAAAATTCCTCTTATTAATTCAAGATTATTATTTCTACACAACTAAAAAGGTGTAGAACAAGAATATAAGAGGAAGTGGGGAGGAGTGGAACATTATTGCTGGAATGTATTCTAGTGTGAATGGATTTTGAAAGGTCTTTGAAGTGTAAATGAATAAGCTAAGCAGGAAGATGGTATTTTCCCTCCCTGTTGGTTAATGCTGTGCCAACAGTGAAGTTTGCTTCTGGATCTACACCATTTTATATATGTGAGTCTTGGCATATAAACTGCCTGCTCCATTTTAAACACTACAGAAAAAAATGGAAGTTGAAGCACAGAAAGGTACAGTATTCATCTTGTTTAACTGCAGACATCTAGTAGCTTTCCAAGCCTAAGTTAGCTACCTAGGCTTCTTTGATATCAGGGAAAAGACGCATGTCTTCTGATAGTGGGGATAGATTTGCCCTCGGTGTCTTAGATACTTGTTTTAGGATGAGGTGAATCTCCCACTGGAGATGCTTACATGTCTATAATTTCAAGAAATGAACTCCAGCGTAGTAGGTAAGTGTATGTGAAGTCCTTTTGTCTTTTTTTGGTGTTTTTTTCCCCCTTTTTTTGCAAGGCTTCTGTGAACATATTATTAGCCATCTTAGATGAATGGGCATTTGTATTGCCACTAGAATACTAGAATATTTTCTCTCTATGTGGCATGCTGAAGAGATTAGGATACCTCTTAGGTGAAACTGGCCTTTTGCAATCTTCTTTGTAAAGGGTGTAAAAATAAATGAATGTCTGATTCTCTTTGTTTTCACTGTCATCTAGCAGGAGACTCGAAATTATCCAGAATCTTATCCTCAACTGCCAAGAGATGAAACGGTGGAGAATCCTCACCTCCAAAAGCACATTTTGGAGCTGGCTTCCATACTGGATGTTAGGAATGTTTTCCTGGAAAACACCCTCGATGACTATTAAAAGAAACTGTCTTACTGCAAAGGGGTTTCCCTGGCCACAGATTTTGAATGGTGCAGTTTTATAATGTGAAAATCATAAAAGGAAGTACTTGATTTTATTTTTAAATTTAGGACCATTATTTTAAAAAGTAATACTAAACAGCTGTTAGTTTAGCTGTTCCATTCTGTATGGGGTCAATTTTATAAGCAGAAGTTTTCATGTCTTTTAAATGTTAAACTAAAGAATCACTAGAGGTTTATTTCTGGTCTTGTGGCTATCAACCACATTTCCAACAGCTGATCCTAAGCATAGAAGTATTATTGGTTACCTTTAGCCCACATTTGTGGAAATCCTTTATTTTTATACAATTTTAAGAAATTGGAAAAAATCAATAGAAAAACAATATTTTATCCCCAAAGAGTCTGGATTTGAAATGGTAAAGATGGAACCACATAGTGCAAACCAACAATAGCAATAAAACAGAGTCCTTCATAAATATATTTTTGCAGTCTTAGGCAAGTAAGTAGAGAAAACTGTGGACAATTAAGTTGCATTTGGAGCAGTGGGTTTGAAGTGAAGTTGTAAAGATACTTAATGCTCCCTATAAATTTGACACAGCAATTTTATATATGAACTTTGTACTGCTGGCCAAGGACACAATTTCCACTCTGCCTGATTGAGTAGATGGTTAGCAGATGAACAAATTACAAAACTAAGAAAGCTAGCCCCCATCTCTCACTGTAATATGGGTCATCTTGCCATTTGTATTGCTGCCACAGTTTTCCAGGAGGAGGGGGCATTCTTCATTTCGAGGTACTAAACGGAATTACATTTCTAGCAGGTGTTAGTCCCTCCTTTCCATGTGTGGATGGAATGTGTGGCTCCCACAGTGTTACCAGTCCCTGATAGGAGCTGAAAGAATGTCCCATATAGTGCTGAATACGAGCCCATCCTATCACTCATTTATCTGACGGATCTGTGCTGGATCCCTGTGCCCGAGGAGAGATGCTGGTGCTCCTCTCGCAGGTTAAACAAAGTGTGTGCTGCCATAAAGCCCTGTTAATGTTTTGCATGCCCACCATTGCATCTCAGTCCTATCTTTGAACCAGTAAAACTGAGGGGCTGTAATTATGTGTGGCAGCACTATAGGCTCCCTCAGCCCATAATGCTCAGTCTGGGTATGTTAAGGAGTAGAGTGGCCTTTGTAAAGGCACTTGCTGGAGAAGGCTGTTCTGACTGCTGGGAAAAGTGCTTGCTGACTCGTTTGGACTGTAGTGCCTTCCTTGCAGAGCTACAGGACCTCTTGCAACTCCTGACAGTGAAAGTGTGAGCAACAAGAAGGAAATGAAAATATTTTAAACTATTAAATGAAAAAGTCTATTGTCACTGTTCCATGAGCTGCTAGAAAAGAAGTGAAAGGACAAGTCTGATCAGTACTTTTATGTTGAACCCAGCCATGTTTCTGTTTTTAGAGATGCAGAATTGGTGACTACCACAGTATCATGGTAGGCCTGTTTGGAATGCTATCGTACAAGGTCTGATCTAGTCAGCCAGAATAGCGAAGGGCAGCAGGTCAGCACTGGTGGACCCCGTTCAGCTGAGGAGAGCACAGGATGGTCCAGTAAGAATCGCTGGAGGGTAGCTGGGAAGTTTGCATGAAGGTTCTTTGTGGCTGGGCTGAAGCTTATGCCATCCATTCTTTAATTTCCCAAGGGTAAAAATTTCTATGAATGCTAGTGTTTGTTCTCAGCAGTCTTGAAGCTGGTATATTGAGCCCCCCACCACTTGGTGCTGCTCTTCTTTGGACTATGGCAGGACTTCATTACCTGGGATGTGGAGTTTATTTTAAAGAGTGTGTGTTTGTGTGTGTGCATGTGTATTCTAGGCGTTTGTGTGTATATGTACAATACGCATACATCTACTGGCTGGTGTAAATTGTAAATATGTATATATGTATAGGTACTTGTATATGTATTAAAAAGAATGAAACAGTACAATGTCTATATACAAAATTTATATATACACACATACGCCATTTTGGGTGCATTCCACAAGGTGTTGCAGATCATTTGTGGTTGTAGTAAAGGTTATGGTTCTTCTGCCATTGTAATTTGCTGTTTCCACTTGGACCTTGACATAATTCATAACTGATTTCAGGTACAGGAGGCCTTAGTTAGCCAGGGGAATGAGTACTCCTGTATGTATTACAGTGATACGATTAATGTATTCTTAACTGTGAAGCTGATGATCTGCCTTTCTGGTAGGAGGTCCCCAGTTATTAAAACATGGGATTGTATGTAGAAGCTAGAGATACGGAAAGCCCTTAATGCAGTAGCAAGTGAGAGACGGGTTATCTCTTGGCCTGCCTGCTGTTCCTCCACCAGCAGTGTTCAACTTGCATGGAAAAGGGGAATTTAATATTCCCCAGCTCACTGCCTTCCAACTAAATGCTTTTGTTTTGCTTTAGCTTTTGCTTTGATGAAGCTATTCTCATTTTGGTTCCGTATATCTGGAAAAGAGTGTGCTATTTCTAAGCATAGGAGTGATGATGCTTCCATTAGTGTGGGCTGGTCAGCCTCTGTGGGACATTGCTTGTCAGCTGCCTGGGAAAGCCTTGGCAGACCCAGTCTTCATTTTAGCTGGGCTGAAGCAAGGAGTCCTTGCTTGTGATCTAAGAGGCTTCTAATCCACTTTGCAGCCCTGAGAAGAGGTTCTTTTTGCTGGTTACCAAGGTAGATCTAATGAGAGGAGAATGCACTTTTTAAAAAAACAAAACAAAACAAACCTGAAGAAGCTAGAATGTAGGAGGAGAATATAAGGCCTTGAAAATTAGTTCAGAAGTTGAACTTATCAGCGATGACTGTCCAAGCCAAAAATTCATTCTTGAGGTCCCTCATTCTCTTCTTACCTACTGACCTTTTGTTCAGATGTATGCTGCTGGCAGGGATATTCAAAGATAAAGATTTCACTCCTGTTGTGTCGGTAGCAGTACAAAATTGTACTTTGTAAGCAAAAGGCTGACACCTTCTGTCTGCTGTAGCTGTAGATAGGATGAGTATCTGGTCTTGGATTTTGAGCCAGCCCTCTCCCTTCCCACCCAAAGCAACTGCATTCAAGATGAAAATACTCATATTTTCCCCTCCGAGTAAAAGCTTGTCTTGTTTGAACTTACTAAGTCATTCTAAACTTGTGCTACTGTGTGCTGTGTGCTATGGTCGTAGGTACCTTCTTGATGTATGCGTATGCTTGTGTGTACTGAAGAAAAATTTGGTTTATGTATCTAGCAGTCCTCAGTATGGAAGCGAAGCAAAGACTGAACCATTTTTAAGTGAGAAGAGAACAAATCCTTTTGTTCTCAGGCCTAATGCCTTCCCTCTTGTCTCGTTCTCCCTTTCTCCATATATCTTTATTGCTTATGTTAGCAGAGAAGACTTGCCACCACCAGGCAATACCAAATTAAAGGGGTAAATTCTGTATGTAATACATTGAGAGGAGAATGTGATCTGGACTTAATGTGTCCTTACTGGACTTCTTCTGCCTAGCTCCCTACTGCATGTGATAACGTTCAAATGAATCCTGCTCCCACAGTAGGCACCTCTATTTGTACTCCTGTTCAAACTGGCTTTAGAACACCTAGCCAAAGTTACTGCTGTTGCCTTTTGTTTCTTCCCCTCTGACTTTTCAAAATAACAATGACAGGGGAATACAGGGTTATGAGTCTTTAATACTCCATTTTTTTAATTACTTTCGGGATGCGATGTGTCATTTTACTTCATGTGCAGGCTAAATGGAGCACTGAATTCTGTGAGCTCTGCAAACTGGACTTGCTCCCTGGAGTGCTTTCCTGAGAAGTTTCAGGGTGGTTTGTTTGGGTAGTTCATCAAAATAATATCCGTCAAGTTATGACTTACGAAACCCCTCAAGCCTATTCCCCAGAGAGATGTGCAGAGATGTCTTTTAAGGATCATAGGAAATAAATAGATGGGGGGGACAGGAAATTAGGCTTCAAATAATAATCTTCAAAAGCTACAGCTTCAGTAGCTCTGGTCAGGCTTCTCCTCTAAGGTCGGGATGAAAGTGCCGCTCCAAAATTCATGCCTGGCATGCTGTTGTGAAGCACCTCCCCTGCCCTGCCACCCTTTCTTGTGCTGTAACTCCATGCTGTGCTTCAAGTCTGCTTTTTCCTGAAAGCTAAAAAGCTTAGAATCTGTCTGAACAACTTTTTTGTCTTGAGGCTTCTTTTGTAAAAGCTTTATCTATGTTAGATTCTTCAGTAACTGTTCTGACTACAGATCACCAATGGTAGCAGTGGCAGAGCCCTCATTTAGTCCTGCCTGTTCCATGTGAAGTGGCTGCTTTGTGTCCATAGCTGATTTGTGGTGGCTGCTGCTGCTCCTGGGGCTGAGGGAGCTCTGCAGGCAGTAACAGCAACAGTAATCTTACAAACAAGGCTGATATATTAAGCTGAAAGCTGCCCTGTGCAACTCGGTAACATTAGACTAGCTGCAGACAGCCTCTGTGTGAGGGATACTGGCGCAGAGGACAGGGGCAAAGATCTCCAGAGCAGAGAGATGATACGTTTCTGAGGTGGCTCTCTTACATTTTTAATATCTTTGACTTTTAGAGCAATACTGTGTCTGTGACCAAATGTATTGCAAGTGCTTTGAAGATTTGGATGTCCAGAAATAGAGCAGGGGAGGAACACATCAGACACACGTTATCTGCTTTATATTTAGGAGTGAAAGTAAGCTACGCTTTTGTTGGTTCCCCCCCCCCCCCCCCAAGCCATTACTCTGCCAAGGCAGAGGAGATTTAGTTCAAGATTTCTGAATTTGAGAGATCTTTTGGGGGACTAAAGACTGTCTCTGAATTCCTGTTGACTTATTAATGTACCAGCTGTCCAGATGCACGCATAATGTTTTGCTCTTAAAGATCCTGGTTTCATTCACATCGAGACCAGACTTCAATGCAACTTGCTGGCCCAGAGGAGTCCCTGAGCAGCGCAGATCTTACCAGATCTAGTAAGAGCAGCTGTTCCTGCAAGAATAAAAGCCTGTTGTGAGTACCTGCCCCACTGACTTTGCAGATTTCTTTTGGCATGTGTTCGTTACCACTTCTCAGTATTAAGTGACTTGTTAGGAGCAGGATTCTGCCTCACGCAGGCTGAAAAGCACAAGTTGCTTTTGCCCTAGGCAAGGCTTAGCAAGAAGGACAAGGGGGAATGCAGGCGGGAGAGGGAGGGAGCGTTCTGGAAACACAGAGGAACTGTGCCTCGGAGAGTCCCTCTGCAGAGGTAAGAGGAGCGTTTTGCCTCTCTGAGAATCAGATTATTTAATCTATTACCAAAAGTAATTTTATAGTGAATTGGTTTAAAGTTATTTTACAGCCATGTGCCTGTATATCATATTTTGGTAAAAACAGATATTTTACTTAAAATATAGTTATATAAATAAACTTTTTTGGAGCAAATAGACTTTTTTTGCAGGGGATCTGTAAATCGCCGAAGCGATGCACTACCAGAAACTGTTCTGCCATTGTTCTTGGTATCTTTGGGAGGAAAGAAGTATGTTTGTATTACTGCTGGGAATTTCGGGGGAAAAGTAAAAGCTAAGACGAAAATGAGAAGGACTGCCGTTAACTCCATTTCAGAAATGACCACCCGACTTTCCACCGTGGTTTGTATTAGTACTAAAAGCCGAAAGGCAAGGCCTGCTTCCTGCTGCCTCCCCCGGCCCCTTTCAGCCTTTTCCAGTGAATTTCGAGGAGATTTCTGTACGCTTCTGTTTCCCTCAGCGGCCCCCCCGTCCCGCTGTCCCCCTGGTTTTGCTGTGTACGAGCCGTTCGCTGTTCCTCTCTCTGTATCTCGGGGTCGGCGGGCACCGGGGGCCGCTCCCCCCCCCCGCCGCCGGGGGAGGGCTCTGCCGTTCGCCGGGCGCTGTTCGTGTTCCCGCACGTGTAATTCTTTGCCTGTTGTCAGAACTACCTTGCCTTTCCGGCCGTGTCCGAGGAGTTTATTGTTAATAAACTGTGGCAAATGCTTGTAACGAGGCGGCGGCTCCGGGGCGGGGCGGGGCGGGGGGGGGGG